AATACAGTATACTTTATAAATTCATTCGCTGCTGTTTTTTTCACACTTGCTTTAGGATTAAGTCAGTTAACAAATGGGGCTGTCAACTGAGTGACTGACATTTGCTTTGTCACTGGCAGGAGGGGAAACTTGGTGAACGTCACATGTCGCGGAATTCCTACAACAAAGATATGCATACTGTACGTGGAATGTGCAGATATTCAACCCATTTAAAACTTTTAAAATGTTTAGATGAATAAAAGTTGTGCAAAAATGCGAGCGAGTTAACTAAGATAAAACGAGGGAGATAAAGAACAAAAATGCATACAATATAGTTGTTACTTCAGAAAATGCCAGCCAAAATGCTGTTTCAAAGGGACTACTTAAGGACGTTTACAGCATTGATTATCGTGGGTTCTAAGGAATTTCAGTCACGACATGATTTCAGTCGCTAAGTGTGCTTATATCTGATCTTCTGCGAAAATTAGCCCCTTAAGTAGTAGACATTTTCTTGCTCATTTTTGGCGCTCTTATAAATACTACTATGTCTTACAGAAAACGTGCCCCAGCACCAAATTTATCACATTTATTTGGTAGCGAATTACGGCTTCTTTACACGTTATGCTCAAGAAAATAATATTTAGCAGTTTTAAAAAGGGTCTATAATTATGCGCTTTTGTAAGATCGCAAAAGGTTCACTAATAAGCCACTTTATTTATTTATTAATGCTAATCAAGTATACAACACGTTCTACATCATGAGCAATTTTTGACGTCCTCCCCAAACGGTGTTTGACTAAAAATTGGAATTCCTACGTTCCAAGGCCTTGCCCCATTCTTAAAATAAAAAAGAGTAGTCAATCATATATCATGGTAGCTAATCTACGTAAAATTAAAGATACATATTCAGAGTCGTGAAGGCTGGTTTGGCAAGCTTCCTACATGGGCTAATCTCTAGCTCATTTTGAGAAGATGCAGTTATAGACTGCAACGGTTGTCAGCGGCGAAAAATGCCGAATATGA